CCCCTGCTTGTGTTCCCTCTCTCGCTGTGTCTCTCTCTGTCAAATAAATAAATAAAATCTTTAAAAAAATAAAAAATAAAATAAAATAAAATCCTGGTTCTTCCACTTCCTTGCTCTGAGTCATCTGGCAAGTGAACCGATTTCCTCTCTAAGCAAATGGGGATAATAATAACTACCTACACCTCACAGGGCTGTTGCGAGGAGAATGGAGATAATACATATAGAACACTTAGGACAGTGCCTGATACCATAACAGTTGTTCAAAAAAAAGTTAGCTAATATTAATAATGAAAATATGCTTAAACCACACTGAGCATTTGTTGGTGTGTCTGTCAGTCATCCTTCCCTTTGAGGTTCTCCCTACTTCTGTTTCATGTGGCTCACAGTTGGCTGTTGACCATAGAAGCCCTTCTAACTCCAGAGATGGAGATGGTTCAGAGACTCGGGCTTAGCCAATCTTAGAACCCTAAGTGCCTGGCAACCATGATTGGTCCAAGGCTGGGCATGTGACCCAAGGAGGCCCAATCAGAGTCTTCCCTGCATTTGATATATGGAAATTGGGAGCAAGACACCCTTTCTCATTGCTAGGGTTGCTAGCCATGTTCTCTGCAGATGTGAGGTAGAAGGGAGGGAGGGATGGATGGAGAGAGGTTGAGTCTAGAAGAGTTGAATTTTTTGAGCTTTTCCTCCTGTCTTCTCACTATATGAGTGAATAAAAGAATAGGCAACATTTACTGAGTACTTACTATGTATTACTCACTGTTCCGTTAGCTTCACGTGTATTAACTAACTTAATATTCCCAGCAAACTTATGAAGAAGATATGATTAGGAACATCATTCCCATTTTACAGCTCAAGCAGCTGAGGCACACAGCTGCTAAAGATCGGGCAGTGGAATGGCTGAGACTAGACTGGGGCAATCTGGCTCCAGAGCCCACAGTGTTAACCGCTTCACTGCACTGTCCTGCAAACTCTGTTTAAACAAGTTTACGTCTGTTTTTTAATCACTTGCAATGGAAAGAAACCCTCCCTCCCCTGCTTTACCTGTAGAGGTCTCAGCTCCCAGCGGCTTGTCGTCTTCAGGCCAACCTCCACTCTCTGACCCCTGGAAAGAAAACTCCTCCAGGCTGGAAAGCGACTGGAGCTCCTTCGGGGGTGTTCTGCACGGGGTGCTGTTGGTGCTGATGACCGCTGACACGCGCAGTGGAACCGACACGGCGAAGGGCTCGGAGATGTTCAGGGCCTTGCGCTGGTGGCGGGGAGAGGGCTCCATCTGGAAGAGACTGCTGGTAAAGACAGATTTGCTGGGGCTGTCGTTCGAAGTGTAGAACATACCCAGCATCTTCGGGGCTGTCTGCTCGCTCTCCGGATCCTCGAGCGGCCGGAACACCTTCAGCTGCTCAGGTGGGGGCCGGGCCTGGGCGCCCTGAAGTTGGCTTCGGTCACTGCTCGTGTCAAAGCCCCCCTCCGCCCCCGCCGGCATCCCCTCCTGGCCCCATTCGCCCTCCTGCTTGCTGAGGTCACATGAGCTGCCAGTGTTGGTCGAATGCAATTTTGCCGCTGGGATGAAGAATCCACCGGTCGTGACCGTTCGATTGAAATTCCCTTTGGTTTCTTTCCCTAGTGAAAAAGCAAACACACACACGGTCAGCAGCCTGGGCGCACCCACCGTGACACAGCCTTCCAGTGAGGGACGGTGCCCAACACCTGAGCACTGGAAAGGCATAGCATTGTCATAAGGGCATAGCCCTCCGAAGAGAGACAGATAACATTTGGTTGGCGAGACAGTAAGAACATTCTCATGTCCACAGAATGTTGGCAGGATGCCGTCGTATGCATGCATTTGTTTTAAACTCTGCAGGGGGAGCAGTTTCCAAAAGGCTAAGGGTGCTAGGCAGAGCAGTCGTCCACCCAGCAGTAAATGTAGATCAAGAAAAAATAAAAAGATGCCAGATGGCAGAATGATGTTTGCTCAAAATGAAGGAAGAAGACAAAAAGGGCAAAATAACAGAATTTTGTTTTACTTTAAAACTTTAAAATGTGTTGTTTCAAGCCTCCTCTGGCAGATGGACCCAAACAGGGGTTTGATTTCCCAGCAAGGAGACAAATGCTGTTCTCAGCTAGACCTTTCTCCCTTTTCCCAGGCTTCCTGCTGCTGATTCAGGGGGTGAGAAACTAGAAATGTAAATTAACTACAAGTTAGAAAGCCCAGTTGTGAGGAGCAAGTTCCCAACGGACTTAAAAGTGAAAGCAAAGAGGAGAAAAATCCCGATGGGAAATAAACAAGCTGCGAGATAACACGTGAGTCGCCTGGGATCGGGAGAAAAACTCCCCACGAGGTACTAAGGGCTCTGCTGGGCATCTTCTGTTAACATTAGGTTTAAAATTCCCATGGCTGCTTATGGAGGAGAAGTGTAATGACCTCCTTTAACATGCGAGGAAACCGAGACTTGGAGAGGCAGAGAAGCTGCCCAGTGCCCATCGATGTGAAGAACCATGCAAATTCAAGACACATACGAATCTAGGCACCGAAGGAGGAGGTAAAAACCAGTGCTGGGCTCTTCTTTATGCCCAATGGGGAGGCCTCGTCTGCCTTGGTTCTCAGGTGTTGCCCTTTTACCCAGTTCAGATTTGCGTGAACAATGGCTTCCGGTTCCAGGTGTGGTTAGAGGGAGGTGGGAGGAGGCGGATGGCCCTTGAGGCCAAGACTTGTGGTGTAATGTGGGGCGGGGGGGAGGTGGTTAATGCAAGGGCGGTGTGAACCCGTTGGGTTCAGGAAGGGTCAGGGGGGACTGTGACGAGCCCAGAAGGCAGGTAGCTTGTGAAGGCAGGTCTGGTACAGGAGCTCCTGTCTCCCAGTGGTAATCCCCAGGTCTGAAAGCGGCTGTGAGAGCTCACCTTCCACAGGCACTGAGCACAGTGAGTCCATGCTTTTAGCCGGTCGGATAGTAGCCTTTTCCACTAAAGACAAAAGAAAAAATATCCCTGATGAATGCATATTGAGAGGAAGCATTCAGAACAAAAGTCAGGCTGTAAGGACACAAGAGAACGTTCTTTAGTAAAGTGTTTTAAGTATTTATAATTTTCCCCATTCCACCCTGGATCCTCCTACTTTCATAATGGGACTGAGCTTATAAAAACAGGGCATTTCTAGATCAAAGTTTCATGAATATTTTACAGATAAAGGTAAATTCCAATTTTGTCAAATAGCTGTTAGCAAATGAGGAGTCCTGAACCAAATTTTATGATACAAAGATTCATCCAGGGGGTAGGGTCCATGAGGCTCAAGGCAATTCCCCCTATCTTGCAGGCTGGAGAGCAGGATTCTTGGCTGCAGCCGCAACTGACAGCATCCAGGAATTTGGTACAGCAAGGGAGGGGGCCCCAGGGACAGAAGGCCCCTTTCTCCCACGTGCAGCTCTGCTCCTGAGGTCTGCGGGCTGGTTGCTCCTCCAAATGGCCTCACCCTGGAGCAGATCCAAACCAAACAAACCTTTTTTGAGCACCTACTATGCGCCTGGTGTCCTCTGTGCACCTTGATAAGCCACCCAGGCAGCTTTGGGGAAGAGTGTGGCTTAAATAAGTAAACACTTATTCCAGGCACGGGATTAGGCATTTCAAAATATCGCTTCTTCTCAGGGAGCTGAAGTGGCTGAAAGGTGGTTCCTCCTAGCGAGCTTGCCAGGAGGGGAATGAGGGCAGTCTGGGAGCTGAGTGGGAGCCCTTGTGTTCCAGAGGCTGTATTTCTGGACTTTCTCTGGGTCTCATGTGTCAGCCTTGAGGGCTGTGACCTGATGACACTAAGTGTCATGATAAAGGATGGGCAACAGTTCTCTCTGCACGGCCACCAGCATTCACGTTTCACGTTGGACCCTCTTTCTGACGATGCGGCTTCTTGTGGCCTTGGTGGCCATAGCAGCTGCTTTTGGGAACAGTCCCCAAGGATTCCCTGGCTCCATCTAAGTAACTGAGCACTCAGGGCTCCTTGGCCCAGGACTATATTTACCTCATAGTTTTCTGTCTGGGACCTTGTCCTGGCCTCGTGGAGGTACATCTCCCAGTTTTCCGGCAGCTTTGGGGTCCTCAAGTCCCCTCTCTTAGATTATCCCTATGGCTCTGGGACTTCCCTGCTGAAAGGCGTTTACTTTGGAGAGTTCCCTGGACTCTCCCTGCGGGATAATGCATCAATTCCAGTACAACCCCTTCATCTGCCCCCCTCCAAAAAAATCCCCAGAGCTATACATGGTGAATCAATTTTTAAAATTCCCTTAGTTATGGAGTTTAGAAAAGATTTTTAAAATTATTTAAATATGCTAATCCACTGACTCACTTTTTTCACATGCATTATTTCCACAAATAGTGAGTTCGTGTCACTTACAGACAGCATGCTGGCGGATGTGACCACAAGCGGGCCCCACCCCTGGTCTTTAGTTTTGAGGGTCCCAGCAACACTCCTCTGGTGCAAAGTGGGCACTTAGGACCCCCGGTCAAGGTCAGAGAGCCACTTGTACTGACACTGATGGCTCTTTCATTTCACCCCCGCAGCCCATCAAAATTCAGCCATTCCAGCGATCCGTCTCTGATTAGTTTGTTCACGAGGCCTTAGACCAGTGGCTTCCAACCCTGGCTGCATTTCAGAATCACCTGGGGAACTTTCTAAAAATCACCAAGACTCTGGCTTCCCCACAGACCTCCTGAGGCAAAAGTGCTATGCGTGTGAGCCTCTGAGGTGCAGCCAGGCTGAGACCCCCTGGCCAGGGACATCCTGTGCATTCTGTGAGTAGACTAGCATTTGATCCAGCACCTTGGACTTCTTCCTTTTGAAAACCACACGGCGGGGGTGGCGGTGGGGGGTGTTGGAAATCTTCCGAAGGCAGGATCAAAGCAGATCATTTATTCATTGTTTTGCTCTATTGTTTTGGACTTTTTGTTATGTGGTAAACTTCTTTCATTGTATCACCGATTCTGTAACTGAAACGCTCTTTGATGTGCTTAAGCAAATCTCTTTACTATTAGATCAGGAGTTTCTTGCCAGGTACTCCTCCCCTCAAATTCTCCTTTGAGAATCCTAATTTCTGATTTGTATCTGATCTAGCATACCTGTGGCAACCTGCCCTTTTCACCGGAGATACTTCCAGTTGGTGAAAGCCATGTTTCCTCATACGGTGAAGGTTGTAGATGCCTACCCAGGATCAGTTCCCTTCCTCCTTCTCACAGAACCCTCGTACTTCTTGGCTGCATCCCATTCCTCATGCCAGTGACTGGTTTAGGAAGCCAGGCCGAAGCCGGTCAGCACAGGGCACTGCCTTGGCCATAGGGATTGATCCATATGACTCAGTGAAGGCAACTGAGATGGGGGTGGGTTGGGGGGTGTTTCTGATGGGTGGCTGCTGGGAAAGAAGAGTCCCTGCTCTGAGGAGCAAGCTACCAGAAATGATGTTCTTTCTCCTGGATGTAGTGACAGTCAAAGGTAAAGCCTAGAAGTACTATAGCCACTTTGCTGCGGCAAAGAAGCCAGACTGGGGGTGAAGATGACCCAACAGCTGAGGAAAACGGGGGACTGGAGACAGAGCCACTGTGTTAAACCCTGCAGCCTCCCCTACGTCTGGGTGTCCAGTTACAGAGCCCAGTAAGTTCCCTCGCTGCATAAGCCAGTTGAACTGGATGTCCTCTTACTTCCAGTCGCTGGACCTGCTATAACCCATAACATGCCTCATTACTCCAGGAGGCAAATGTGAAGGTTTCTAATGTCTATCTTTGGCACACAGTTATCACTGGCTTCAAGGAAAGTCCTTCAAAATATTTTCTCTCATTTTTCCTATAAGCATTCATTTTCCCCCAAAATCTTTATTACTAAAAACTTCAGGGACACCTGGGTGGTGTAGTCGGTTAAGAGTTGGACTCTTGGTTTCTGCTCAGGTCATGATCTCCAGGTCATGGGATGGTTCCCTGCATCTGCTTGAGATCCTCTCCCTCCCCCCCACCCCACTCGTGTGTGCGTTCCCTCTCTCTCTCTCAAGTAAAATCTTAAAAAAAAAAAAACAAACTTCAACCATCCACAAAATTTGAAGATCTCTAAACCTACCACCCAGGCTGACATTTGCCATATATTTGCTTTCTCTATTTCTGTATCTGTATCTACCTATGTACTTAAATTTTGCTGAATCATATGAAAGTGAGTTTCAGTATTTTGACCCTTCATCTTCACATACTTCAATCTTGGGGTGCCGGGTGGCTTAGTTGGTTAAGCATCTGACTTCAGCTTGGGTCATGATCCCGGGGTCCTGGGGTTGAGCCCCACACTGGGGTCCTCGCTCAGCAGGGAGCCTGCTTCTCCCTCTGCCCCTCACCCCGCTCGTGCTCTCTCTCTCTCAAATAAATAAATATTAAAAATAATAAATAAATAAATACTTCAACCTTAGCATAGACCTCCTAAGAACCATTAGCACCCTATGCAAATTTACAATTCCTTAATATCATCTAATAACTTACCTGTCCCCAAAATTATCATTTGTAGCCCCTTTTTTCAAAGGATCCAAAGTTTGCTCATTGCATTTGTACATTTACCTTTTACAGCTTGTTTTCATAATGCTTGCCCCCCATTTAAAAAAAAAAATCAAGAGTTTCAGTCTATCACACTAAAGGTCATTGTGGCAGATTTCTCTGGACTTCCCTTTATGACAGTATTCAGCTGAATTGGTTATATTCCCCATTGTACCGTGATTACCTCAGTTCCTTCCTGCTCTAATTCCCATTAATTATTCAGATATCATTCCCACAATGCAACACTCCTATTTAAAAATTATAACCCTGGCATGAGTCATGAGGGAGAAGGGACAGATCTTCCTTATAGTATAGTTCAATTAATCAATGTAGAAGGAATGATGGAAACAGAAAATGACCAGGAGGTGGACTGAACGGAGTTTTTCTAATACAATATACATCTCATAAAACATAACTGCTAGTAATTCTTACCTGAGAGCCTCTGTCCTCTCACAAATACACTCCCGTTTCTACTCAGCTTTGATTTGGAGTCTGATCCAGAACGTCCCAGGTTAAATATTGATTTCCACTTCTTCGATTTACTGGAGAGCTTTCTTCTAAAAGAGCCAAGCCATAATAAAGGGTTAGTTTGGTGACTGGTCATTTCAGTGGGACCTTTACATTGAGAAGGAATACCCCAGTCATGTTCTTGGTTATGAATGGCTCTGACATTTCAGGAAATTCCTCTCTAAAATTCAGTTTGAGCCTGAGTCTGGCCCTATCTGGGGATGCCCTGGACAACCAAGCTAGGCTTTCACATTCCTCAGGGGAAGGGGCAAAGGTGTGCTATTAAGGGCAGGTGTGAGGGCAGACAGAAGCAAGATGGGTGGGAGACCCGGAGGTCACAAGCAAGCACACAGTTCTAGGAATTCTGGTAAGCACCACAGTCCTGGGTTTTCAAAGACACCTATTTTTTTGCAGGAGTAAACACTAAAGACCAAAGAACTCAGTGCCGATATGCCCCCTGCACTTTGGCCATCCTGCTGGGTCATCCACAGGTGAGGAAAGGGCTGGCAAAGACTTCTGTGGACTGAAAAAGGGGTGGATGAGAATGGAAAAGAGTTTGGCCTGGGAGAGTCAGAGGCTGCTGGGTGTGGCCAAAGATCACTGCAGAGAAAGGCAGAGGGTAATTAGTGTGTCTCTGGCTTCACTCCCATTTCCCTGATGCCTCTCGCCAGGCTGCCTCAGTAGGAGGCAAGAAAAGGAGAGTGCTAGACTGGGTCCGGAGGGCCTGGGGCCACCAGAGGTCACCAGAAGCCTTGCCCCACTCGGGCTCGCCCAGCTATCAGACTTCATAAAGTTCCACGATGAAACCCTCCAACTTGTGGGTTCCACAAAGGACCTTTTCTCCACAGGGTTCTCATAGAACACCCAGATCTCAAGCCCAACATGTTTTTACAATCAATCAGAGATAGATCTGCAACGCTTGGTGGTTTCTTTTGAATCTGGCCCAGTTTTTTTCCAAGCACTTGGCCTGGGATGTATTTTATAGGCTTGCGTACGTTGGGGTATGGTGCACCCCAAGTGTGGCTGAGGCACAGAGAAAATGCACTTGATGGTCCTCCTGGGGTACTCTTCTTTCTGATCCCTGGGTGGAAGTCTTATTCTCCAGGGATTTAGGGAGTGAAGTCATGGGGCTCAGTCTAGAGAGAGCATGATCCATGTACTTCAGGAAACGGAGGGGTTTCTTGCCAGGTGAGGTCTACATGTGCCATTCCCATAATGCATATATATGCACTGTGACAGACACCCCCACTGGTGTGTAATGTGGCAGCACTCCTCCTCCCTCCCCAAAGGGAAATAGCCCCACCATCTTGGGGATCATGCTGACAAGAAGACCGAGGTGCCTCTTTTCATACCTCTTTCTATTGACCAAACATTGAGGATGACAGTCTCCCGTGAAAAGTTTGCCTTCCAGCCCCACCACCTACTGTCTGCCTGGAGTTTGGGACTCCTCTCAATCACTGTTGACTTTTTAGAGTGGGCTGTGAAGCTGAGAAGGAAAGGGGGCTGAGTGGAGACCAGGGTTCCAACAGAGAAAGCAACAAGGAAAGAAAATATCCTATGAATAAAACTGATGTTCGGTTTGGTTTTGGAGGCGAAGGAGGGCCCTGACAGGTATGGAAGGAGGAACGGAAGCCAGGCAAGTGTGTCCCCAAGCCGCCTGCCCAGAGCTCTTGGTCTAGAGTGGCACTTCTTGTTAGCTTATCTTCCACTCGTCTCTATGACTTTCATAATGTCACCTGGAGGCGGAGGCTGGTGGGAGGGGGTCAAGTTGTTGATTGCAGCAAACTTCCTTCTGAAAATGTCAAGACTGTTTTGTCTAAACTAAGGAGTAAGGGATTTTAGCCATGACTCTTGACCCCTATGAGCCCCACCCCCATCATGGTACTTAGGGATCTCTGGTGGGAGAGCTGGTCTTGATAACTTGGCGGCAGGGAGGGAAGACATCAATCACCAGTGAGAGAGAGCTGTGGAGACAGCTCCCTTCTCTTCTGGAATGTTCCCTCACATCCCGACCCAGCCAGTACCCCCAACCCATGCTGTCATTGTGACCCTGAGACTGCATAACTACTTCCTCTGTCCCCCTCCACCCAAATGTTCCCCAGAATTTAAGAGAACGCTGCTTACTTGTTGTCTGGTAACTCAAGAACAGTGTGGAAGAGGGTGCCCATGGGAGGGACAATTTCAGGCAAGCTATTCTCCCTCCTTTCCTTCCGAGCAGGATGGTTAGTAGCCAGGCTCCGGGCCTGAGCTTCCTCTAGGCTTACCAGCTTCATGGGCAAGGAGAGGGCTGGCAAGGTCAGGCTCTTGGTGATGGGCGGGTTTTCTATACAAAAAAGAAAAGAGCTCAGTCATGGAAGGAGGCCTGTGCATCGGGTGTAGCCAGATTCCTCATCCACAGCGCCTCCATTCCTGACTCCCTGACAGGAGGCTTCTGGGGGATTTGGGGGTTGGGGGCAGAGGCCAAACATAGGAAACTGACCACCTCATGGCCAGACAGCCAGCAAGCATGTAGGGCTTCAGGAGGTAACCTGTACTTCTCAGAGAGGGGCCCTCCCTCTCTCCCTCCCTCCCTCCCTCCCTTCTTCCTCCTTTCCTTCCTTCCTTCCTTCCTTCCTTCCTTCCTTCCTTCCTTCCTTCCTAGGACATTTACTGAGCATTTACTGCCTAGTACTTTGGCCAGGTTGGAATGTACGTCCAGCCACAGACGTGGCCTCACTTGGCCAGAACAAGGCAGGAGACCGTTCCTGCTCTCTGCCGCCACAGAACACACACTCCAAGACGATTTAACGTGGGAGCCTATACTTCCCCTAGATCACTAAGGTTTATATCCCTGCAGTGAAAAGACATTTTATGGCCTCCACTATTCCCTAAAAGATAGCTGGCTTTTTACTCACTACTCAGTGGTATTAAGTGTATGCAAGCTGATCTTTTCTTTCTATGGTTTTGGGTTTTATTTTGTTTTTCTTCTTGTTTAAAGAAATGGAAGTGATGATGATAGATCAATGGTGTCCCAGGGCATCTCTTTTCTCCAAGTCATTGGTTCTCAACTTGGGGCACTTTTGCAGCCCCCACCCTCCCCCCTTCCCCAGGGACACCTAGCAGTGTCTGAGGACATTTTTGGTTGTCATAAGCATGTGTGGGAGTTCTACTGGCATCTAGAGGCCAAGGTTGCTGCTAACCATCCTACGATGCACAGCACGTGAATGCACACCACAACAAGAACTCTCCGGCACTAGCACATGGGGATACGCTAATGGTGGGCCCTTCTCTGTGGGCCTCTCATAGTGGACCCATGCCAGAGGAGTGGGCAGTCCCGAACCACTGCCCAACCTCCTCACTGGTGGGCTGTGAGCGCTGAAGGGGGCTGTCCAGTGTGGAAAAGTAAAAAGGGAAAAAAACCCAACCACACACACAAACAAAAAAACCAAAAAGAACTATCCGGCACGAAACGTCAGTAGTGCCAAGACTGAGAAACCTTGGTCTAAGTAAAAGAAGAGGAGGTCCAGGTTGGGCTCTGTGTAGCCTCTGGCAACCTGGCCAGTTTTCTGTAACTTCAGAAGGTGTGGAAAGACTCAAAGATAACTTGGACCAACTGAGACTAAAGCAATCTTTTTTTGTAGAGGACTCACCTAATTTTCAGAAAGCATCTTGATGGCACCATTTCTCTTTGCAGAGCATGACCCTCTCTGGGAGGAGGGAAATAAAACCACTGAACAAGGGCCTTGTAGAAAACAGAGACGGTGGGCAATACTGGGGTTCTTCCAGGCAGGAGAGCACATGGCAGTCACTCGGCAGGACTGCAATTAAGTAAATCCGCGATCCTAAAATCTTTTCAGTAAAGTTTCCAACTTTAACCCAGTTTTCCAACTCAATCCCAAGGAGTTTAAAATATTTAAATTTTATATACTCCTAATATTTGCATTCTAGATTATTTATGATTTGTAAATTATTTGTTTACTTAAAAAATTCAATCATTCTGGGAGCAACTGGATCAATGGGAAGAACCTACACTGTAGGGTCAGGAGACCTCAGTTGGTATAGCACTTACCCCTAGTTTCAGGCTGCAGTATCCTAAAAGGCCTGCTCATTGTCTCTGCTTAGATGTTTAACAGGTATCTCTGACTTATCATTTCATAACAGACCTTGTGATTGCTGCTCTTCACCTCTAAACTGCTACCTTCTCCCATCTTCATCAAGTCAGTAAATGGCACCATGGACCACCCTGCTGTAAGCCGAAACCTGGAAGAGTTCTTTTTCATTCATTCCTTTTTTTTTGATGCACCACCTCCTCCCACATCCAGCCCATAAGCAAGTCCTATGATTCTTACCTCCAAAATGCATCCTGAATCCAGCCACCTTCCTTCCACCCACTGCTAACATGCTAGTCCAGGCCACCATGATTGCCCACCTGATTTCTGCCATTGCTCCTTCGCTGGTCTCCCTGCTTCCAGACTTGCTGCCTTTCCATCTCTCCTTCACACCACTGTCAGAATGCTCAGACCCTGCACTCCCTGCTCAAAATCCTCAAATGCTTTCCCATGGCACTGAGAACAAACCAAACTCCTAGCTTGACCTTCCATTTGCTTTCCTTCTCCTCTTTGCCCACAGACCTAGTGGTCTACAAAAATATACAGTAAAAATTTTTTGAATATATATTCTCATTATAAATTATACACATATACACATGTATATAATTACACATGTGTAAATTATACACATATACCACTGTATTATATATAATTATATATAATTTCTGTTATATATAACAGAAAACATACAAAATCATAGAAATTACAAAATATACAATAGAAAGAAATGAAAAAGAAATGCTAATAGTTTCTTCCAACACCTGTGGTTCGGTACTTCAGTCCTTGGTGCCCCCCAGGGTGGGGCACCCCACTCTGGAGACCACACTGGCTCTAGCTACATTGGCCTACTTTCTGTACCACTATGAGCCCCTTTCCACTTCAGAGCTTTTATAATCTCTGTTCTCTGTGTTTGGAACATTCGTCCCCCAGATCCTCACATGACTGGTTCCTTTTGTCAAAAGGTCTCAGTTCAAAGATCACTTCCTCAGAGACCATGGCCACTCTGTACCAAAATACCACCACCAAATCATTGACCATTGCATTAACCTGCTGTGTTTTCTTCACAGTATTTGTCTTTGAAGTGATAATGTATTTATTTGTAATCTTGTATATTGCCTGCCTTCCCAACTAAACCATCGCTATCTGCAGGGCAGGATCTTTGCCATTTTGCACACTGTTGTGTCCACAGTGTGTAGAATAGGGCCTGGCCCTAGAAGTTGCTCAATGCATATTTATGTTTTAATGAATCTTGGGTATATCACAATCTCTCTGGCCTTATTGCTCTCATTTATTAAACAAAAGTATTGGATTCTATGACTACTAAAATCTTTCCAATTTGAAATAGAGCCCTATTTCCAAATCTAAAATTCCAGAGGGTATGGCTTCTTCCATTTTGTGTAAACATTAACTATGCTATCTTACCGAAGTCCATACGAATTCATGACAAGAACATTTAAATGAAATGCACTGTATAATAAGCATTAGAGGCAATCAAGAGTTAAAGTCTCACGAGTAAACTGGATTTCAACATACAGTACAAAAGATGATCGAGGCAATGGTCACAAAGAGAAAAGGCATTTCCAGGTTACGATCAGGAACGGCTTTAACACTAACAGTCACGGATAGGATTTGCTGTCAAGTAGAACATTTCCCAAAAGTCATTTATTCTCCACAATGGTTTATTGGTCTGTTTTCCTATTTTTTTCTCCTCATAGAGGCAGCATAGAGTTAAGGAAAGAGCAATGGGCTGAAAAACTAGGTTCAACATTCAGTCTCAAAGTTACTAGTTGTGTGGCTTGGGGCCATTACTAAGCTTTTCTGGTTCTCCGGTTCTTCACATATAAAATAAGGTTGATGACATTATTGGTTGTTGTGATAAGTCCATGAGATGATGTATGGGGAGCGCCCATTCCTGGCATAGAATAAGTCCCCAACCATTTACTGGTTGATTCAAAAGAATGAATGAATGAATGCATCTTCTCACCTACCTTCAAAAAGGATTTATATAGCTTATGATAAAAAATACATCTCTAGTGGGAGAGTTAAAATAAAGATAAAAGAAACATTAGCCACTCCTAAGTATATAACCAAGAGAATAAAAACATGTGTTCACACAAAAACTTGAATTCACAGCAGCATTATTCATAATAACCAAAAAGTAGAAACAACCCAAATGGCCATCAACTGATGAATGGATAAACAAAATGTCGTACAGGTATACAACAGAAGAAATATTATTCATCCATAAAAAGGGAGGAAACACTGACATTATGTAACAATATGGATCAACCTCAGAGAACATGTGCTAAGTGAAAGAAGTCAGTCACAAAAGACCACATGTTGTATGATTCCATTTATATAAAATGTCCAGAAGAGGCAAATCCCTAGAAATAGAAAGTAGCTTTGTGGTTGCCAGGGTCTCAGGGGAGGGTGAAATGTGCGGAGACGGCTTCATGCGTATGGGGTTTCTTTCTGGAGTGATGCAATGTTCCGAAATTAGATGGTGGTGATGGTTGCACAATTCTGTGAAAACACTAAAAGCCACTGAACTGTGTACTTTAAAGTGATTAAAATGGTGAATTTTATGCTATGTGAAATTTATTTCAATAAAAATTTTTTTTCAAAGGAAGGTTATAAACCACATAGAGGACAGGGTAGGGGTGGGCACAATTATGCCAGGAATCAAAATTGGATGTTAGTTGCAATTGATTATTCTGATGGTTATGCTTGTTTGTTCCAAATACATTAGCTAAACTAGAAAAGAATGCTTTAATCAGCTAACACAAATATTTTGCAGATAGGGTTCTCATATACCACTGGTTCTCCAAGTGTAGACCCTGACGAGCGGCAGCAACATCACCTGAAAACTCATTAGAAATACAAATTCTGGGGAGGGGGGTGGGGTGATGGGTATTAAGGAGGGCACGTACTGCATGGAGCACTGGGTGTTATACGCCAACAATGAATCATGGAACACTACCTCAAAAACTAATGATGTACTGTATGGTGACTAACATAACATAAAAAAAAAAAAAAGAAATACAAATTCTCAGCAGCATTCCAGACAGACTGAATCAGGAGTTCTGGGGATTAGGTCCAGTAATCTGTGTTTGAACAGCCCTCCAGGTGATTTTGACGTATGCTAATGTTGGAAAACTCACACAAGTGGTAGTTACAAGGCTTCTTGACCGGGGCGCCTGGGTGGCTCAGTTGGTTGAGCGACTGCCTTCGGCTCAGGTCATGATCCTGGAGTCCCGGGATCGAGTCCCGCATCGGGCTCCCTGCTCGGCAGGGAGTCTGCTTCTCCCTCTGACCCTTCCCCCTCTCATGCTCTATCTCATTCTCTCTCTCAAATAAATAAATAAAATCTTTAAAAAAAAAAAGGCTTCTTGACCAACTAGACTTTTGATTTTTACAAATTAAACTCACAGGAGTTCAAGCAACAGAAACCAATTCATTCCTAGTGTTCATTATATCATTATGAGAGCTATCGGAAATCATAGTCTTGCATCTTATCACATCCAGCCTCAAAGAGCTATGTCTTTCTCACCAACATGGCCACGGAGGGTTTCAGCACTAACCAGTTTCTGCATACGCATGCCCACAATACACACTCATTTTTGTAGGCCTAGTGCCTGGTGCGGGGTAGAACAAAGTAAGCACTCAAGAAATGCTTGCGAAGAGAACACATTCTGAATATACACGTGCGTATGACCACGCTGCCTCTTAACCCATTCACATAAAACTCCAAGACGAAGACCTAAGGGTCTTCTGAAATAGCACAATGAAAGTAAAGGTGAGGGAGGAATGTTTCCTGTAGATAATAACCCAGAGAGTTTAATAACTCACTAAAACCAACAGATTATTCCAGCACAGAACTCTGCATTCAAGGGATAGGTCATGTATACAATGCTCAGAAACATGCTACAGCCGCCCACGAACACATCTTGCTGCACACAGACCAATGTACACATATGCACGATCCCCGGACGCTGACACACGAAGTAGTCAGCACACACGCACACAGCCAACGCCCAGAGCTCGAAGCAAGCCCACCCTAACTTCTTCTTGGGCCCCAGCACTAAGGCAAGGAAGAAGGATAGCCTGCTGGGGAGTATGCCAGAAGCAGCCATTACCATTGTTCTCCAAAGACCCAGGTGTGCCGTTGTTAAAGATTTGATCCACATGATTCAGTATGAACTCAATCACCACTTGCTGGACCCGAACTGCAAGGAAAGCCGCGTCTCCATTGCACCCAGTGGCTTCGATTTCTTTGGATCTAAATCATGAATGAAACACAGTCAGTGAGTGAGTCTGCCCCACAACAGAAAGCGGTCAGGGGGAGCCCGTGGGCCTTTTGTACAAGCCCCATTTCCTAAATGTATACAGTTAGTTAATCTCTAGGCTATTTTAACTATTTAAGACCTATTAAAAGGCCTCCCCAAAGGCTGTGAAGGCCAACACACTGAACAAATTTGAAAGCAATGACCAGGTACCATGCATCGCTAGACTATAAACACTGTATGTGTGAATATACACGAATTGATTTTTTTTCTGCATAGGATCTCCTTCCACCCCCACCCAATTGTTCTGTGGGTCAGGTCATTTGTGAAGTCCTATGAAGCAGTGACCCCACCAAAACTAACAAAAGCCAATGAGCCCTAAAGACCAGAAAGGCCTTTTCAAGAACTTATAACATACAGACCCGTAACTTTAGCCACATGCTGGTTGTAGCCAGAAAACGCCTTTGGAACCCAGAGTTTCCAGGATAGCAGACAAAGAGCTCAGGCTATTACAATCGTCCTAATTTATATGTGTTACAAATGACCACTTAGCTACAGGTGTGTCTTCAAGGGCCTTCGTTTCAGTTGGTGGGCTGCTTTGAGCCCATGGGGGTGGTGAGAAGGTGAGGGTACGGTGGTTACCTGAGCAGGTTTGGCGCCCACACCAAGGCCAGGTTCCTGGCATGCATGTTGGTCTTGCTGCTGAAGGAGGCAATGTGGGCCAGGTGTCGAATCAGGTATTCCAAGGTCCTGTAATGGTTCATTTTTTTTTTTTTAATTTTTTTTAACAAAGAAACTTTAGTGCCTGTGTAAAGCCTGACATCTGGAGATGATTTCTATGTTTGGATTTAAGAGATTCTAAATATTTCTATCTCATGAATTTTGAAGGAATATCAGGAAGGTATCAAGACTGATGGAAATAATCTTCTTGGCCCTAGGCATGCTGGCCCAGGGTGGAGAAGGGGAATGGTTTTGTCAGAAGTCAGTCGAGGCCCTTGGAGAGCCAGAGGCAGTTCCCTGGGCCTCCTTTTACCCAGGCCACCACTGCTGCCACACAGTCTTGAAACTGGTTCTTATCTCTGCTCTTTCTGGAATTATCCCAGCTACGGATAACTTGGTCCTTGTTAGTTGGAGAGCTCATCTCATGGATGAATGACATCTGTTACTGTAGGAAGTTCTTTCTTATACTGCATCAAAATCTGCCCCCTTGTAAAAGAGGCTTAGAGAACCCTGGGAAAGGTGGTAAGATGAGGGACTAAACTGTGAGAACAAAATGGAAGGATGGGAAGATGTGAGGGATGGTATTGGTGAGCCAACAGAGAGATCAGTCAGCCAGAAACTCAAGAGCTCAAGCCAAACTCTTTTTAAAAACCCTCCCGGGGGCGCCTGGGTGGCTCAGTCGTTAAGCGTCTGCCTTCGGCTCAGGTCATGATCCCGGGGTCCTGGGATCGAGGCCCATATCGGGCTCCCTGCTCCGCGGGAGGCCTGCTTCTCCCTCTCCCACTCCCCCTGCTTATGTTCGCTCTCTCGCTGTGTCTCTCTCTGTCAAATAAATAAATAAAATCTTTAAAAAAAAATACAATTAAAAAAATAAAAATAAAAACCCTCCCGAATTCCAGAGATTTGTTTATGCTATGAATCTGGGTAAGAACCTAGGATACCACAGCCAGTGAGGCTGGCTTGTGTGATCAGAATGACTTCCTGTGAGACTCTGAGGGGGGCCCCACAAGTGAATAGGACATGGGCTGCCCCTTCCCGCCAATGTCCCCGGGCAGGCACCGACGCATTCTGAGAAAAGTTGACCTGTTCACCCACCTCAAAATACCACAGGAAAGTTATGAACTTGTTCCCTTTTATGACACCAGCCTGCATCTCTGGTATTATACCGCCTTGAGAGGTCGCGGACATCTTTTACCAAGGATTCTTACCTATAATGGGATGGGGGAAGCTCCTGGATGACATTCTGGATGCGGGCCAGTTGGCCTTCTTCCGGGCAAGGTGACACTGCCTCCTGTGGGGAAGAACGTGAAGCAGCCCAGTGAGTGCTTGAGAGGGTGGATGCCCACCTTGTCTCCTGGCTTTATTTAGGTTTCTGGTACTCCAGCCTCCCAACCAGGTCTAGAGATCATCCTTCCAAGAGGCATGCTTTTCTAGTAAAAACAAACAACTAAAACCCGAGGGTTCGTGATGCGAAGCGTCTAACAGTGAGTGCACACGGGGACATGTGGATTGCTCGGGTCTCTGTGCATCCTCAGAAGGTTGTTAGGTGTCTGACACAGGTGTAGAATCTTGGGTGTGTGGTGTGGCAGAGAGAGGGATGGAGGTTCACACTGGGAGAGATAAAGAGACAGAGACAGAGAGAGACAGGGATGACAGGGTGGCTCCATGTTTACTCAGTCAGCTGTCTTCTTGGGTGCAAACAGCTGCTTCCTACCTGGCCTGACACAATTCCATGACCTCACTATTCAGTGGCTCATCTACTGTTAGAGATGCTGATGTGAGGAAGCAGGGAAGACGAGCCTTCTCAGCAGAGTAAGAACCTTGTCCCTGAGACCTCATGGTCTCACCTGGACGTGCTCTCTGGTTGTTTCCTGTGTGGGTATTTGTTCTCCTGAGACAGGGAAACCACAGGGATCCCATGAAAAAAAAAAAAAAAAGCTGTTTGTTTGTTTTTCTCTTTGCTCCTTTTCCTGCTTCTGTTCTTGCTGGGACCTGCACCCCTCGCCTTACACAGGCCTTACAGAACAGATAACATATGTCCTCCTTGCAAAGGAAGAGAAGTTAATGATCTCTTTGGAGGCTTCCAGCACAATAGATGACATCTAAGGAGTGACCTGGGTTGTCATGACCAGTTTCCAAGACCACTGACTCATCAAGACCCCTTGGCTCCAGGGCATAAGTGACTTACGGAGTCTTTGTTCCTGGATTACTGAGAGGACACATGCACCACACCTCAATAAAAACCTCAGGCCCCAAGTAAAGTTGAGACTCACTCTTTTCTCCTTTCTGAGTCTTCTGGAAAATGCTCTGTATCTACTCTCTCCATGTCTTCAATAAACTCTACTCTCACTTCTTCTTGGCTTGCATTTGATTTCCATCCTGTGACAAGCCAAGGACCCTCTTGGCTGGTCCTATGGGACTCCCCACTCTGGGTCGGAGGACCCAGGCAGCCTGCATCACTTCAGTCTGCCTGGGTCCTTCAAGGAGAGCCAAGGGCATTTGTAAAGGCAGTGTGATCACAGGCTTGCCCAGAACTTCTGCCTGATGTAGATGTCCCTGGGCAGATGCCAGTGCCCTGTCCTGAGAAGCTGTCCTGCCTGTGCCCAGGCTCAAGGTGGCCCCTTCCAGTGCAGTGGCCGAACGCTCAGGAACTGCAGTATGGGAGCAGTACCTAAGTGCAAGGTCAATGGTAATCACATCTTTCTTTTTTTTCTTTCATATGCATATACCGTTGTAACCCCACCTAGATCAAGACACACTTTAAAGACAGTTCCTGAGCTCATGTCAATCCTTAATAACCCCGAATTCACAGGCGTATGTGACTTACAGTCTTGAATTTCCTCCCAGTGCCAGAAACTTTCTTTACATTTGTATATAAGGAAAAGTCAAATCAGGACATGCATTCTTTACTTTGACTCTCAGTAATGAGAATTTTTAGGCACAGAAAAGAAGGAAGTTGACTGGGCACTTTCTGTTACGCCAGGCCCTGTTCTAGGCCACATTTGCGGTGTCTGGTCTGCTTTAACTTAAGAGGAGAGGTCCTAAGTGCCGCCCCAGCCTGGACTTCCCAACTCCCTTACTTGTCTCCATTGTTTCCCACAGCCCTCCCCACCATTACAGATACTGCAGCACATACTTAGTAATTAGGCCTGTTGCTTACTGTCAGTCTCCCATGCTAGATGGAAGCTCTGCAGGTGTGAGGAGTCCTAGCGCCTAGAGCAGTGCCCGGCACCCAGTAGGGACTCCCTCCATATTTGTTGGCTTTGTCATACTCCATCTAAGTGGGACATCATGCCAGGGCTTTGCCCACCCATTTTTTCCCCCTTTCCTTCTCTCCCCTCTCCCCTCCCCTTTTAATTTAATTGAAGTAAAACAAAGACACCAACTATTTTTTCAAAGGCTGTCAAAATTCTCCACAGGGGAAAACTTGAGATTGTGCTTCCCAAGCATTGGTGGGAGAAATGAGGCACCGGGAAGGTCACGGTCACAGGTGTCCCAATCTTCAGGTGGGGGTGCAAGCCTGAGAATAGAACCAGCAGAAGCATGATCTCTGTTGCAACCCTCAATTTTTGAGATATGGAGGAGGTGGAGGGAGGGAATAAGATCCGGGTCTGGAGTAGGAACACCAACACCACCGCTTTCTTCCTCAGAAACTCACAAGGGGAGCCACGGGAGAGAAGCTCCTGAGCAAGGAGGGGCTGTGTAATGCTGTGTGGACCCTCCCACATTCTGTCCTGCAAAGGGGGAAGGGTGGGAAGCCTCTCTTCCTTTCAGCAAACTTTGTACAGTGCTCCCCATTTTCTAAAAGTGTGTCTGGGGAATAAAGGTGCAGGTCAATTTAATAGCCCTCATGGAAAGTTTCTTTGATATTTTAGGAAGCTGTTAGTCATCTTTGTTCTGAGAGGCTGGGCGGGTCCTCCCCCTAATGCCTGCAGGTCCCATTTGGGATTCTTGTTTATTTCATTGTTCACAGCCTCTTCCCCCGCCCCCCCCCCTTCAGAAGCCCTCTAGATCCTGTAGTTTCTCCTCCAGGGGTCCAGTCCTACAAACTTATTTTTAGCTCTCTGTTCCCCCATTAGGTTGGCTGAACCTATCATCAGGGAGTTGGGGGAGGGGAGTTGAAGCTTTGCCTACCCCAATATTTTGCCTGAGAGAGAATTTCACTCAACTTTTGCCAAGCTAATCTGGCTAAGAGTTAAATCTTAAAAGACCTAGGATGAATCTGTTGACTGTTCGTTCTCTTCCAATCCGTGTCAATAAGACCGGCTTCCTGCCTGCCCTTTGAAGACTTGGTCCAAGACTGGACTCTCCCTCCTTCTGGTGGGCCCTTGCTCTTATTTTATCTGTTTACCTGAACACTACTGTCACCCTTAGAGCTCAAGTCCTGCTGCCGGGGCAGCCGTGTCACCAGGGGGGACAAACAACCCATGTCTCTCCTTTCCAGTTGCGCCCCAGCTACAGCTCAGTAAATTATTTTAAGCAATTAGACTAGAAAGTAATTCATGCCCATCATTTAAAAAACGAAAGCATTCAGAGGAGTACACAGAGGAAAGTAAGCCTTCCTGCCGACCGCAGATCTTCGGAGGTTGTCTCCAGAGGCAACCTCTGTGTGTCCTTCCAGACAGTCCTTACCTTTCCATCTTTGTCACACACGTGAAACAAGCCTGATTGTGACAGAGAACTTGAACTACCTCCATTTGACCTCAAACTTTCAGTTGATTAGGTTCTTCTTTCCAGCTTATCTCTTAATTTAGGCAAAAGACCCTACAGGCAAAGCATCCCCTGAGGGGAATGAAACTACCCCTCAAGCCATAAGGGAAAGACCCTGTGTGACTGACCCCAAGACAAAGATCTGTTTGACCTTCACTGCCCACCTGCATGTTCCCACCCACCTTTGCCCCACATTTTCCTTATATAAACCTGGAAAGTATCTTCGGGACTTTGGAGACAGTCTTGGAGACACTAGTCCGCAGTCTCCCCATTGTTGGCCTCACTGAAATAAATTCCTTTCTTGTTTCACCACCACTCACGTCTCTGCCTTTGGATTTCGTCAGTGGCGAGTGATGGAACCTGGCCCCTGTGGCACCCCAGGAGTCAGGTGCTCTTGCAGCCCTGCACCCCGGCTAGAATTACGTGACCTGGCCCATCTGCAATTTCCCATCATCCTGGTTTGCCTGAGATTAAGGGTTTCCTGGGACATAGGACTTTCAGTGTTAAAACTGGGGTGGTCCTAGGCAAACCAAGGGCAGCTGGCCCCTGCCCCCCCCAACCTTGCAGCTATCTTGAGCTCCCAGACAGTCTGCTTTTGCCTACTGCCACACACTAGTAGCCCACCCCAAGGGACCTTTCAAATGATATGTGTGGGTCCACAATCCTGTCAGCAGAGGCTTACTAGGTAAACATTTTCCATCAGCTGGAGAGCAGGAAAAGAAAACACAACAATGAACAAAATGAACACTGTTTCTGCCCTCAGGAAGCTTACAACTGAATGAGGGAGACTGATACACAAAGAAGTTATTTCAATATAAACTCAGTTTAAAATTAAACACCTCTCTAAACTGCCTTCTCTAAAAATCCCAAATCAGCAACTTTTCTTTTGGGTTTAATAATTCCAGCTGAATCAATGGGATCAAAATTGAATTTTTCCTAAAATGAACTTTTTTCTGATAAAAATAAAATGTAATATAGTAGGCTGAACAATTGCTCCCGAAGATATCAGGTCCAAATCTCTGGAACCTGTCAATGTTACTTTATTTGGGAAAGGAGTCTTGGCAGATGTGATTCAATTAAAGATTTTGAGATGAGATGATCCTGGATTAACTTGATGGGCCCTAAATGCAATCAGAGCTATACTTGTAAGAGGGAGGCAGAGGGAGATCTGACACAGACAGAAGACGAGAGGACCACGCCATCACGGAGGCAGAGATGGGAGTGATGTGGCCATAAGCCTTGAGTGCGGGCAGCCACCGGAAGCTGGAAAAGGTGAGCAGCACTTCCGAGCGCCCCCCCTGACCACC